TGAACTGCATGGACTGAGAGCTCCACACCCAGGTGGCACACAGGCTGCCCAGGCTCTCGGCCACCCTGGAGCCGGCTCTCCCCGGAGTACAGGTCTCTCCCCACTCCAGCTGGCTGGGCTTCCTGCAGCCGGGGGGCGTCCATGTGTGGACGGGGACAGTTGAGCAGCAGCCCCTCTCGGGCTCTGCCCACCTCCTCCTTCCCAGCTTTCTGGGAAGGCTTAGGCTTCCCTGGAGCAGGTGTGACCGGTGCTCAGATGAGCAGGAGGAGCACAGCGATCCTCAGGCGGCATCTGTGATGTGGTAGAGGGTGAGAGAAGGAGGGAAGGCCTGCCATGCAGGTGTCTCACAGCTTTGTCCCTCAGAGTCAGACGGAGACTGAAATAAGAACTGCCCCTGGGAGGGACAGCTCTGACCTGCAGCAGGTCACCCAGAGCCATGCCTGGGGCCAGGCCACGTGGGTGTGGATGGCCCACCACACTGGGCCCCCGCAGCCAGCTGCAGACACAGGCACTGGGCGCCGTGGGCTATCTGCAGGCCCTGGCTGACTGCCTCCTGAAACACCCATTATGCCCGTAATTGCGGAGCCACTAGCAAATTGCTAATGACAATCAACCAAGTCTTTGGTTTAAGCAGCTAATTACAATGCAGACTGACACTTGAGAGGTGGCCACAGGTACGAGGGGAGTGTTGGTGAGGGCAAGAGCAGCAGACCGGCATCGAGCCTCCTGTCCGCCAGACAGCCCAGTTTCTGTGTGAGGAGGACTGAGGCCCAGAGCCGGGTCCCTGTGGAAGCCTTTCCCTGTGACCACAGCAAGTCCTGACTGCAGGAGAACCGGTAGAAAGTGAAGTCCAGCCCCAGTCGCAGAGGGTGAGAGAAGGAGGGAAGGTGCTCAGGCCCCAGAGAAGGCACAGGGTCAGCAGGAGAGATAAGCTGGACAGAGCTGTCCAGGTCAGGAAGGGTACAGAAACAGCTCAGCACGGCAGGGGTGGCCAGGAACCCAGGAGAGGGGAAGCGGAGGGAGAGAAGCCCGGACACTTCCCGAGCTCCGTGCAGGGGCAAGAGCCTGGACAGTGCAAAGGGATCTTGGCCCCAGGAGCAGTCCAGCGGCATTAGACTAAGAAGAGGCTCGAAACTGTGGGACACCAACAGCCCTAACACTGGCAGGGCAGAAGGCTGGAGAGAATCCAGGTGAAGGCAGAGGAGGAAAAGTGGCCAGAGGAAAACCGTGCAGGCCAGGAAGACCTCAGTGCCCCCTGGGCTGTGCAGAGACCTGCAGACACCCCGCGGAGAGACTCCATCCACAGCCCCTGGAAGTGCCCGTGGGCGGGGCTGGCTCCCAGAGAACCACCCCGTGGGTGGGGCAGCAGTGAGAAAGCATCGGTGGGTGGGGCCAGCAACAGGGAAGCCCTGGGGGGCTCAGGAAGCCTCAGGAAGTTTCCTGGAGATGGAGAACCTAAGACAGAGCCTGCAGTGCCCGGATCTCCTGACCCACACGTTCTTGAGGATGGGAAATTACTGGTGACCACAGACAGGGAGAGCAAGCGGAGGAAGAGCCTGTGCTGAAGTGTAGAGCCGGCTTGCCTGGCCCTCCTGGGGCTGACTCCAGGGCCTCACCTGCAGCCACTTGGCCCTTCCAGTCCAGGGGGTGCCCAGAAGGCCGTCAGGCCAAGCCAGGGTCAGGACCAGGGGCCCTGCGAACATGAAGGAGAGTCGGGATTTCGCTGCCCAGATGAGAGGACAGCGAGAGGGTCGGGTTCCTGCACTGGAGGGAATTGGACTGCTGAGGGGCTCTTGCCGTGACTGACACGGCCAGGCCACAGAAGGTAGGGACACAGCCCCCCACTGTCCCAGGTCCCTGTTCCCTGTGGTGCCACAGCAGGCTGTTGTGGCAGAGGCCTGGGCGGGGCAGGCCAGGCCCCGCAACCAAAAAAAACCAAAAAGTGGGTGAGCAGAGTCAGCACCCCTGGTGGAGCCAGCGTGCAGAACCAGCTCACAGAGAAGGACGGCCCAGCCGTGGAGGTCGGGCCTCACCGCCAGAGAAGGACCAGCACCCGGCCGACAGGGAGGTGGGCGGCGGCAGCCACAGGCACCTCCTGCAGGGAACGCACTGGGAGTGCCCTCAGGAGGCCGTGGACAGGTCGTCCCTGCTGACGTCAAGATGGCAAAAGGCTGCAGACAGCCAGAGCCCCGTGGACGCCGTCTGTGGGCCAGGTCCTCCTCAGGGAGAGCTGGCCGTCTTCTGAGGTCTCAGACTTCTGAGCAAGAGCGTGGGGTTTGAAGCCGGCCCGGCCGCATCCACCCATGCTCATCCACCCGTGGATGGTACAGCCTGAGCTGCCCGTGGGAATGGGAGAAGGGTCGGCTGGTGGTGTCCAGTGCACTTGGAGCTCCAGGGCAGCCGTGCTGTGTGTGAGAGAAGCCTGGCTGGGCGCTGTCTCTGCCTGTGGCTGCTGAGCTGCACCACACAGAGGCACAATCACAGCAGACTCTGTTTGGGGGAAGGCTGGAGTACCAGAGTGAAGGTCTGAGTGGAACAGGTCTGAGGGCAGCCCCAGCTTGGGCGAGGGGAACGAGGTCTCCCAGGTCCCTCTGCAGTCTAACCAGTGGCCGCCATGCTGCCTCACCAGGTCACAGAAGGGCACGACACCATTCCCCAGGCCAGGCGTCCCTGGACACACAGGTGGGTGGGTGTGCAGCTGTTGTAAACAAGATCCCGCCCCAGGCCTCGAGGAGAGGCCAGAGAGTCACAGGGTGGGGACCACACACCCCCAGGAAGCTCTGTGCTAGGGACTCTGGGGACCCCGAACAGCAGCTGGGAGGCACATCTCTTCCCTCCTGGAGAAGGGAGTGGTCCCACACTCGCACTGGGGAGCAGTGGTCAGTCAGGGCAGCAGCTGGGCAGCCCACAGGAGGGTGCTCTGGGCAGGGACCCTGGTCTTTCTGAGCACCCAGTGGCTGGGGAGATCAGAGAGCAGTGCCCGGGCTTATCTCTAGACATGCATCCAGGTGTTCAGAGCTTGGTGCGTGGCTCCGGGTCCAGGGTCCGCCACGGTGGACTCATCAGCACGACTCCCGCTGGCCTCAGAGCCCTTGGAAGGCAGCTTCCTGGCTGGCCGGGACCTGCTGAGCCTGGAGCCTGCAGAGGAGCTCTTGGCTGCCTGGACCTGGGGCTTCAGAGCCACTGAAAGGACCTGGCCTCCCCCGTGGTGCCGGGAAAGGCCTCCCCAAGTCCCGCCAGCCCCGGCCCCCCAGGAGAGGGGTGCTGGGGGCCTGCCGCCAGCCTGGCCTCATCTGCCCAGGTCAGGGGAGGCCCTGCGGAGGACTGGAGGCTCTCTGGGCATCTGCGTGGGGCCACCTGTGAGGCCGACCCCTCTGAAGGCTTTCCTGTGTGAGGCCCTGGAGCCTCGAGGGCCAGTCCCGGGCAGGGCTCCGAGGATTCCGGGAACCAGCCCTCCTGGTTCCTGGCAGCAGCCTCCCATGTTCCGGGCGTCTACCTTCTGTGATGTGCTCCTCACGCATGTCTAGCTGGTTTGGCCATCAGTCACGTGGCGAGGCCTCCAGCATCACGGCGCTCCACCGGGCAGCCCTCCCGGCTGACCCCAGCTGACCCCTGGAAAGCCCTGGGGGGGGGGGGGGAAGCAGAACCTGGGCTGAAGGCAATACCTGGCCAGGTGGGGGCGCTGCCTGCAAGGCCCGTGAGGGCTGGGTCCACACAGGCCCTGGAGGCTCCAACCAGCACTTCCTGGGCGTCCCCACCCCCTGGAGCTGGTGCTTTGGAGTCCAGAGTGGGGACCGGGGGCCTGAGGCCCAGGGAGTGGCCAGCAGAGCCCAGCTCCTGGTGAAGGCGAGGAGGTCCCGGGGCAGGGCGGCAGGAAGGGCACCACTCCCCCAGGAGTGGCCCATGACCACACACGGAGAGGGTCCCGGGAGCCGGTCCAGGCCACCGCCAGGCAGGGTGGGTCCTCTCCAGCCTAAAACTGCCGCACACCTGGGCTTTGCAGCAGCTCCCCGGAGGCGGGCGCTGAGGGCCCCTGCTCCCCACACGGTCAGCGCAGCTGGGGGCTGGGGGCTGGGTGGCAACCCTCCTCTGAATATCCAAGAAGTCATGCCAGGCCAAGACCCTCCTACAGGGAAGGAGTCTGCCACGCGCCATCACAGCCCATGCCAGCGGGGCCACCCCCACCGCTGGCCTTCCAGCCGCTGAAGTGTCACCCTGTCCCGAGCCCAGATGGACTGGGGAGCTGCCCACATGGCCTGAGCTGACACAGGCGGGGCCAAGAGCCCTCCAGGTCCCAGCAGGGGTGGCCAGCAGAGTGGCCAGGGTGGGGGCCACTGTGGCTCCTGTGAGCTCTAGTGCCTGTCCCTGGGGACACTGCTCCTGGAGGTGGTGACTCAGGGGAGGGGTCAAGCAGAGCCAGGGAGGACAGCCCAGAGTCCACCAGGTGACTAACGTGGAGCAGGCCCTGGACCTCAGGATCAGTCTGGCCAGGCGGTCTCAGGAGCAGAGTGGCTGTGGCTGCCCAGAGGACAGAAAGCAGTCCCACTGGGGGCTGGGCAGGTCAGGGGTTGTGGGCTGGACCCAGCAGCCCCTGGCCGCTCAGTCACCGCGTGGCCTCCTCCTGCCCAGACTGACACGGGGTCTCTGCCAGTTTGCACACCCACCCGCTTCCCCACGTGAACGCAGACCCCTGGAGAGGGCACCGGCTGTGTGGCTGAGGCCCAGGCAGCCCTGTCCTGACCGTCTGGGTGCCAGTCTCTGGTGAAGGGACCTGTCCACTCGCACGTGACTCCCACCCACCACCAAGTGTGGACAGCCAGAGGGCAGCAGGGCTCTGTAGATGGCCCTGGGCCCTGGGATGAGGACTGGGAGGACCCTGGCTGGGGTGCCCACCCCAGCACCCTCCCCTCCTGCCCACCATCCCCACCCTTTGTCCTCTAGCAGTGGCCCTGTCCCACGAGTCTGCACCTCATCCCCCTGACCCTCTGTCCTCCTCGCAGTGTTCCACCTGTCCCACAAGGTCACCAGTGTCGTCCCTGAGAGTGCTCTGCTCATTGTGCTGGGCCTGGTGCTGGGCGGCATCGTCTGGGCAGCGGACCACATCGCCTCCTTCACGCTCACACCCACCGTCTTCTTCTTCTACCTGCTGCCCCCCATCGTGCTCGATGCTGGCTACTTCATGCCCAACCGGCTCTTCTTTGGCAACCTGGGCACCATCCTGCTGTACGCGGTCATCGGCACCGTGTGGAACGCGGCCACCACCGGCCTGTCGCTCTACGGGGTCTTCCTCAGCGGCCTGATGGGTGAGTCTTGTGCTGCCCACGGGGTGGAAGGTCGGGGTGCAGAACACAGCCCAGGGGTGGAGTGTGGGCAGAGAGGGGTGTCGCCGGTGAGCTGCTTAAAGTCCCGCGTGCAGAGTCCCAGGGCCACACCTGGCCGGGGCCCGTGCCCGACTCGGGAGAGGCCCTTTATGACCAGGTGGCGTGTGGGTGGGATCTGTCGATGGCTGTCCTCCTGGGCTGGGAGGAAGGTCCCAGGGAGAAGCGCAGGCAGCATCCAGGTCTTACCGACTGGACCGCAGGCCGAGCTCAGCACACCTCACTGGCCTCCGCCTGTGGTGCCCTGTCTCTGGCCCACTTTCCGCCTGCTCCTGTTCCTGCACGGAGCGGTCCTTCACTCAGCCTGGGTCACCCAGAGGCCAAGTGGGCCAGCATTCCCAGGGACGGGCCCAGGATCGGTGACCTTCCCTCTGGCTCAAGGGAGAGTACTGGCCAGCACTCACCACATGAATTCAGGCCTTAAAACCCTAGTGACCGAGAGAAGTGTGGTGACAAGGACAGCAGTCCCTCCCAGGTGCCTCTCCCTCAGCACTGGGCCACCACCACAGAGCTGCCTTGAGCCTGCCAACCAGTGTCACCCAGAGAGCACCAGGGTGAGCCCTGCAGGCCCTCAGGCGAGCAGACACCTGCTCCAGGAAGGTGTCACCATAGGTGGCCGGGACACACCTCAGATGACCGGCTGCCTCTGACCACCGGATGCAGGGATGACTCAGGGCCTGGAGGGGACCCTTGGGCCTATGGCCCATGGCACCAGAAGGGTCAGCTCACCCTCCCTGATCGCCCTGTGACCCACGAGGTCAGGGCCTGGGACGCCCCAGGGTGGTTTCTGCAGGAAGAAGCCTCCAACAGATCCGGTGGGTCCCACGGCTCCTCTCAGTGGGCACCCTCTGTGGCCCCCTGACCCCTGGCCTCACACAGCTGCCGGGCTTCCCTTGCCCACCTTGGTCAGGCACAGCACCTGGGTTTCTTCTAAGGTCCTTACGACCGGCACAGGCCTCGCAGTCAACTGGCTGAACCGTACACCTGTGCTGGCCCCTGAGCCGTGTGGCCGTCAAACTCAGAACATTCCTGCTGCCAGGGACGTCCGGGTCCGTCTTCCTGCTGTGACCATGTAGGACTGTGCTGTCACCATGTCCCTTCTGCACAGTAGTCATAGATGCTGACCGTCTGCACTTAGTCCCTGGGTCCCAGCAGGAAATCCAGAGGTGATAGAGCTAGGCAGGCAGTGACCAGGCTCTGTCGACCAGTGACCAAGGCCAGGTGCACCCATCACAGAAGGGTCAGCTGGGCTGGCTGCAGAGGCCCTGCAGGTGGGCACAGTGGCCATTCTTCTTACCTAAGGTGGAGAGAGGGCCTTGAGCAGGCAGCCTGGTGGAGTGACCCCTGAGTTCCAGACACTCCTGGCAGGTGTCCCTTCCCGGCCAGCTTGGGTGGCATGTGCAGCTGGCTGCACTTCCTGCTGGGAGCCGGCCAGTTTCCAGAGTGTACCACTGCAAGGTCTGACAGGGACCTGGGGCAACAGGCTGGTGGTGCCAGAGGCAGCTGACGGGCCTGGAAGGGGGCCTGGTCTGCCAGGCCAGGCAGGGCCTCCGATGGCAGCGAAGTCTGTGCTGACCTTCCAGATGGACTGCAGGGAGTGTTGCAGGCTGCCCGCCTCACAGGAGCCTAGACGTCCAGTCATGGCGATGTCCCATCCCCACTCAGTTCCCTGCCGTGGACCCCCCTGTGCTGCCCTGGCCATGACCTGGACCCGGGGCAGGGTCTGCCTCAGCCCAGCAAGAAGAAGGAAGCCCGGTGGGACTCCGCTGGCCGTGGACACCCAGGGCATCGGGCTGGGCTCTGCCCTCAGCCTCCTTTGACTGCAGGCCCTGGACCTTCCCCGTGGCCACTGTCTTGCAGGCGAGCTGCAGATTGGGCTCCTGGACTTCCTGCTGTTTGGCAGCCTGATCGCAGCTGTGGACCCGGTGGCCGTCCTGGCCGTGTTTGAGGAAGTGCACGTCAACGAGGTCCTGTTCATCATCGTGTTCGGGGAGTCTCTGCTGAATGACGCCGTCACTGTGGTGAGGCCTGGCAGGGTCCTCGGGGCCCGTCACAGGGCCCGGTCCTGAGAGGCACAGGGAGACCCACCCGGGGGGCATTGTCACTGTCCTCGGGCCAATGAGAAGCTCTGCTGCCCACAGCCAGCCGTCGAGCAGGACAGTCGCCTGGGAGCGCACGCCTGTGTGGGATGCTTGGTGTCCATGGGGGCAGCTGCTGAGCCTGGCAGGCCCTGCCTCTCACGGAGTGCCCCTTCTCTCCCCTTCCCGACTCCCTCTGTCCAGTTCCTCACCTTCCTTCCCCAGTTGTGGACCCGCCCATGTTGTGCCTTCGAGGTCAGGGCCGCCAGGTCCCAGAACAGCCTTCTTCTTCAGCTGTGGGCTACCCGTGGCGCCACCCATTCCTAGCTTCCTAAAATACAGGGGGACAAATGAGCAGACTCTCATAAGAATGGCCACTCGGCCGGACCACAGCTGGCTGGTCCGGGAGCCTCCTGGAGGTTGGAGGCTGGAGGCAGAGGGTGGGGCAGACTGGCTCCTCCTGAGGCTGCCCACGGGTGTGTCGATGGCCTGTTCTCCCTCCTCCCTTGCTCACTGTGCCTGGTCGCCTCTTCTCCTGAGGACCCCAGTCAGCAAAGCAGGCCTGTCCTAAGGACTCCGTTTCACCCGAGCCCTCTTCAAAGGCCCCGTCTCCAAACCCAGGCATGGTCTGAGGTCCAGGCCAGGACAGTGGGCGCTCCAGGAGACACACCCAGCCCCTCGCAGGAGTCAGGAAGCAGACTCAGTCTGCACTGGCTGCGCCGCCCCGTGGAGGCGTGTTGGGGGCCCTGGGCTGCGGGCAGTGGCGGGCACTGTGGGCCCTGCACGCTGAGCAGCAGGCCTGTGCGTGGGGAGCTTCTCAGCCGCCTGGGGAGGGTGGGCTCCACCTCCAGACGGGCCACTCTTCGAGAGGGGTCAGGGCAAGTTGGGACGTGGATGCAGCCTCCTCCTGGACTTTGCAGAGACAGGACATAGAAGTTTGAAGATGTGACCTGTCACGGGCCTCCAGAAGGGGCCTGGACCCTGGCACATCCTCACCTTGTGCCCAGATGCCTTTCCCAGGGCAGCTGAGGGCCTCTGAGGCCAGTCAGGAGTGCAGCAGGTAGCTCCTGTGCCCCCGGGCCTGGGCAGCCTGTGGCCCCCGTGTCTCTGCAGAGGAGCCAGGGCCCTCGCTGCCCACACAGCCCGCCGGCTCTCACCTGCACTCCCACGAAGGGCACTGCCCTGTGAGGCCGTGCTGGGGACTCAGTGGCCACTGAGGAATTGACCCCCAGACCACACGCCTGCCCTTGGGGCCCCCAGCACATACCTCAGAGCAGGTCAGGGCAGAGACAGCACCCGTGCCCCTCAGTTGGGGTTGTGGGCCTTGAGGGAACAGGGACTTGGACATGGCCATCACCCAGCACCAGCACAGGATGGGTTAGAGTCACATGTGGACATGCCGAGGTCACAGGGCGCAACCCCGCAGCCCAGTCACACAGCACAAAGCCACCGGACAGGGCACTTGGTGGTCTGGGCAGAGGAAGTGGGAGGGTTAAGTCCTGAGGTCAGCTTCGGCTGCCCCCTCTGGCCAAGGATAGGAAGAGGCCAACTTGGCTCCTGCAGCTCTGGCTCCTTCCAGAACATTCTCTTGCCCACACATCCCTCCTACTAGTGCACTGTGGGCCCCTTCTTGTCACTGCCATTCCCTGTGCTGGCCTTTAGTTGCTGTGGAGTCTGAACCGGCCCAACCCCAGTGAGTCCCAGGCACTGAGATGGGAGCGGTCAGTGCTGACCACAGATGTGTGGCTGTCTTCCGCCCTTTCAGGTCCTGTACAATGTCTTCGAGTCTTTCGTGACTTTGGGTGGTGACAAGGTGACCGGTGTGGACTGTGTAAAAGGCATAGGTACGTGGCGGGGGACCCCACTGCCCCCCAGGCCCTGGCAGGAGTGAGGCCACAGGCCCAGAGCTCAGCGGCCTTTGGCCCCTGCAGCTCTGGACCCCTGTAGCCCTGAGGGAAAGGCGTCTGCACTGTCACGGGGCCCAGCCTGTCACACAGCCCTCCCAGACACCCCAGAAGCACGACTTGACAGAGGTCCTGGTGGCTTGCTGGGCAGGAGGAACGGCCACTTGGGGCCTCCCTAGGAAGGAAAGGATGTGGCATCCAAGGACAGGGCCTGGTCCTCAGGGTGGTCTGTCTGGGTGATGCCCCCACAGTGGGGCATTGTGGCCCCGGCACCGTCCTCTGTCCCCTTTCCTCCTGAGGCCGGTGCTGAAACCTGACTCTCTCCAAGAGACATCAGGGACCTGCTCTTGCTTCCTGAGCTCTTGGCGCCCCTGTAGGCGGAATTACCAGGCCACCCGCCCTGAGGAGTGGCCAGGAAGGCCAGCCCCCGCAGCCTCGCCCACGACGCTGGCCACCAAGGGCCATTCAGGCGGCCTCAGCCCCGGTCTCGCCCTCACAGTGTCCTTCTTCGTGGTGAGCCTGGGGGGCACGCTGGTGGGGGTCGTCTTCGCCTTCCTGCTGTCCCTGGTGACCCGCTTCACCAAGCATGTGCGCATCATCGAGCCCGGCTTCGTCTTCGTCATCTCCTACCTGTCCTACCTGACCTCCGAGATGCTGTCCCTGTCGGCCATCCTGGCGTAAGCCATCCCGCTGTCCTCCTGGTGGCAGGCTGGGGAGCCCTGCACTGGGCCTGGACAGCGCTCCAGGCTGGTGCCTCTGCCAGGGGGCCTGGGGGTGGGTGGAGGGCAACCCCAAGGTCACAGCCTGCCCTGGGCAGGGGACGTGGATAGGGGCCCACCCCCCTCCTCAGAGTGTGACCTTTAGAGCAGGCCTCCCAGCTGCCTCAGCCCCAGGTGGGTGGCAATTCATGGTCAGGGAGAAAGAATTTGATGTATTTGATTTTTAAATAAAGAGTTGGCATTCCCACAGAATGGTCCAGGGCCAGATGCAGCGCCTGCTGGGGGCAGGGAGGACAGACCACAGAGCTGGCCCAGCTCAGGGCTGGCCCCCCATCTGCCAGGCCCACCCAGTGCAGGACTGACCGTGGGGGTCAGCGGGGGGCCTCAGCAGCGTCTGGCCAGGCTCATGTGCTGCCGTCCACAGCATCACCTTCTGTGGCATCTGCTGCCAGAAGTACGTGAAGGCCAACATCTCGGAGCAGTCGGCCACGACTGTCCGCTACACCATGAAGATGCTGGCCAGCGGGGCCGAGACCATCATCTTCATGTTCCTGGGCATCTCGGCGGTGGACCCCCTCATCTGGACCTGGAACACGGCCTTCGTGCTGCTGACGCTGGTCTTCATCTCTGTGTACCGGGCCATTGGTGAGGACCTGGCCTTTTCCACAGCACCAGGCTTCCCTCAGCCCAGTGACCACAGACTTGGAAGCCTTGGGACCGTGCCCCAAAGACCTGGACCCTTGCTGGCACCCACAAAGGTCCAGGCTTCCTCT